TACACTAATTATGACAAATTTCACACAAATGTCTAACGGGATAAAAGGATGAAGTGATGCCCATTACTCAACATCATATCTCAGGCGGTAATTTTAGTCTTTTGTTGTTGTTGTTTTTATTATTATAATATTTGCAAAGAATAAGATGAAAAAAAATGACCTGATCCAATATCTAATATGAATATATGCTGTAAATCATATAGACATACGCATGTGTCTCTGCACATGTGTGTATGAATATTTCAGTGAGGTTAAAGAGCCACTATGCAGATCAGCTCTTCTTTCCTTTATCACAGTATCAGGGTCATAATTCACTGTTGGAGGGAAGAATATCATTACGTTCAAACAGCAGCTCTGTAAAGCTCAGCTTTCCTCTGATGTGTGTGTGTGTGTGTGTGTGTGTGTGTGTGTCTTTCACATCAAAGCCATAGAACGCTATTAATAGGGCCACTAATGGACTCTAATGGTAAATAGCCACATCAGCACTCAGGTTTTTGACTGTGTGGTGAATTTATAATGGGGGGAAGTGATAACAAAACTTAAGTACCTTCTAACTCGCCTTTAATTGTGGTTTAGACCAGTGCAATATAAAGCTTTATTTTAACGTGGGGACTAACAAGCGTGTGATTCATGATAAGATCCAGCTTTGTGCTAAAGTGACCTGCTTGGAATTACGACGCAGTATCTCTGTTGTGGCCAATAAAACCAATGTTTTTACCAGCTCAGCGAGACTCAAAGTCATCAAGAGATGTGTTTGGAGCCTTGAATCTGTGTAAAATGTTACTTATTTATTTCATTTTATTTTATTAGTTCGCTGTATACAGAGTTAGCTATATAGCTATTTTGCATCTGTGGTCCCCAGGGCAGGAACATATTAAAAGACAGTACAGTAGGCTACAATTCAGACAGTACAGCACAAACAAAAAACAAGTAGTTAGCAAAACAGTTTGCAAATTTACAAACAGTTAAACATGTAAAATAACACGTTATATAGTAAATATGGAAACAGTTGGTTCCATACAAAAGTTTCGACCCGTGATCACATGATTGGTTTGTCTTGAGCCATGTTGTAAGGGTTGTTTTAAAAATACCAAACTTGGGCATTCTCTGACAAGGGTGGGAACTGAGCTCCAGTTATAGTTTGCTCTGACTGAAAACGCAGATTGTAATTTCCATAAATTATAGCCAGGCAATCACCTCTGGCTGATGAGCTGGTCCTTCTAGCATTGTCCCTACAGTGTGGCACACAAAGTGATAATTCCAGTAAGAAATAATTTCACAGATTGTGTGTAAAGAGCGTATCGTGGTTTTAGGGCAGTCACACCTGCCTGAGACCAGCTTGTAGCACAGTAAGATAATGTGGGAAAATCATTGAGTGCATAAAGAGCTAAGCAGTGGCTAAAGGCAGTTGGTGTTTAATATATCTTTTAGTCAGTGGACTAACTCTGACGCTTCTGGAGACCTTTTTTATATGTTTATTAAATATAAGGTAGATTCATGGATTATTAAGGTCTCAACAATATTGATGACCTTGCTCATGTAAAACAAGATTTATACTTCTGCGTCGATGTAGAGCCTACGCCGTAGCCTGACCTGCACTTCCCCAGAAAAGTAACTGCATGTTGCTTTGACGCAGACCTCCTGTCTGTTTCTGTAAGCTGAAACCATTTCCCTCAGTGGAAACAAAGCTTTTATTAACTTTTATTTCACAGATAAGAAACAATAAATTGTGAAGACAATAAAGCCTCCACAAAAATAGCATTTTAAGTCTTGAGTGTGATTTATCCTGGCTTCATGAGTTGAGGAAATCTCGCTAAGCTAATTTATACAAAGTAAAATGCCATAGGCTTGTGCTAATAACGTTAGCATGTTGTATTTGTTTGGAATCGTGTTGCATATAAGGCAGTTTTGTCTGTGAAACTTTTAAGTTGTAGTAGAGACAAATTTTGTAACGTTACCTTTGTTAAATGTTGCTGTTGTCCCTGGCTTCATATGAGTAGAGGAAAAGTCTGCTAGCCTTAGAGCTAATTTATACAATGTAAAATGCCATAGGCTTGTGCTAATATCTTTAGCATGTTGTATTTGTGGGGAAAATGTGTCCAGATGTGAATGCTGTGAGTTATAATGAAGCTGATTTGTGTACTTGTGTTTGAAATTGTCTCTATTAAGCCATGTTTAATGTGTGTTTCATGTGTGTTTTAAAGAGGCAACAGATATATATAGCATATTTTCCTATATACAGTACAGGCCAAAAGTTTGGACACACCTTCTCATTCAATGCGTTTTCTTTATTTTCATGACTATTTACATTGTAGATTCTCACTGAAGGCATCAAAACTATGAATGAACACATGTGGAGTTATGTACTTAACAAAAAAAGGTGAAATAACTGAAAACATGTTTTATATTCTAGTTTCTTCAAAATAGCCACCCTTTGCTCTGATTACTGCTTTGCACACTCTTGGCATTCTCTCCATGAGCTTCAAGAGGTAGTCACCTGAAATGGTTTCCACTTCACAGGTGTGCCTTATCAGGGTTAATTAGTGGAATTTCTTGCTTTATCAATGGGGTTGGGACCATCAGTTGTGTTGTGCAGAAGTCAGGTTAATACACAGCCGACAGCCCTATTGGACAACTGTTAAAATTCATATTATGGCAAGAACCAATCAGCTAACTAAAGAAAAACGAGTGGCCATCATTACTTTAAGAAATGAAGGTCAGTCAGTCCGGAAAATTGCAAAAACTTTAAATGTGTCCCCAAGTGGAGTCGCAAAAACCATCAAGCGCTACAACGAAACTGGCACACATGAGGACCGACCCAGGAAAGGAAGACCAAGAGTCACCTCTGCTTCTGAGGATAAGTTCATCCGAGTCACCAGCCTCAGAAATCGCAAGTTAACAGCAGCTCAGATCAGAGACCAGATGAATGCCACACAGAGTTCTAGCAGCAGACCCATCTCTAGAACAACTGTTAAGAGGAGACTGCGCCAATCAGGCCTTCATGGTCAAATAGCTGCTAGGAAACCACTGCTAAGGAGAGGCAACAAGCAGAAGAGATTTGTTTGGGCCAAGAAACACAAGGAATGGACATTAGACCAGTGGAAATCTGTGCTTTGGTCTGATGAGTCCAAATTTGAGATCTTTGGTTCCAACCGCCGTGTCTTTGTGAGACGCAGAAAAGGTGAACGGATGGATTCCACATGCCTGGTTCCCACTGTGAAGCATGGAGGAGGAGGTGTGATGGTGTGGGGGTGTTTTGCTGGTGACACTGTTGGGGATTTATTCAAAATTGAAGGCACACTGAACCAGCATGGCTACCACAGCATCCTGCAGCGACATGCCATCCCATCCGGTTTGCGTTTAGTTGGACGATCATTTATTTTTCAACAGGACAATGACCCCAAACACACCTCCAGGCTGTGTAAGGGCTATTTGACCAAGAAGGAGAGTGATGGAGTGCTGCGGCAGATGACCTGGCCTCCACAGTCACCGGACCTGAACCCAATCGAGATGGTTTGGGGTGAGCTGGACCGCAGAGTGAAGGCAAAGGGGCCAACAAGTGCTAAACACCTCTGGGAACTCCTTCAAGACTGTTGGAAAACCATTTCAGGTGACTACCTCTTGAAGCTCATGGAGAGAATGCCAAGAGTGTGCAAAGCAGTAATCAGAGCAAAGGGTGGCTATTTTGAAGAAACTAGAATATAAAACATGTTTTCAGTTATTTCACCTTTTTTTGTTAAGTACATAACTCCATGTGTTCATTCATAGTTTTGATGCCTTCAGTGAGAATCTACAATGTAAATAGTCATGAAAATAAAGGAAACGCATTGAATGAGAAGGTGTGTCCAAACTTTTGGCCTGTACTGTATATCATTATGAAAATAATGTGGGTTGCACAGGGTAGTGGCCACAGTAAAATCAGACTATCAGCGTTTACATAGGTTACTTAGTGGCTTTGCAAGCTTTGCAATAAGCTTCTGCCACCGGTGCCAAAATTTAGTGGAAAAAATCTGCTTTAACGCAGAAAACTGGTCGGTCAGCCAATCAGGGACTGGAGCTGGTCCTTAAGAGGTGTTGGGCATGAGATAGTTGAGTCACGAGCACAATGGCAGACGGACAAAGTTTGGAGACAAGTGAAAAACGGCCTGGCAAAAGAAAATGAGCTCCTCTGTGTGAGGAGGCAAAGAAGAGCAAAAAGGAGAGTGATAAAAGAAGAGGAAAAACAAGAGTAAACCTCAGTCAGGTGTTCATGAGATGGAGGGAGCTCCGTGACCAAAGAGGCTTCAGAACTGATGTCCAGCTAGCTTTCTTTCTAATGGATCAGTAAGTAACACGGCTAAATGTTAGCTAGACCAGAGAGGACTGTACTGTACTGGCTGCTAGTTCATTCCTAGCTGGCCAGCATCGCAAATCGCCGCAACCAGGGAGCGGGTAGCAAGTGTTGGTCGGCTGACATCCTGGTTGGCATTCTACGGCAGCCCTTGGACTGTGCATTCTGCTATAATTATTTGCATTACTATTTGTTTTTTCTCCAGATAAATCTGATAATTGTTGTCTCTTTACTCATTTATTTAGTAGAGTGTTCACACACTTTCCCATTCTACATATACATAGAGGTATACCGGTGGCTTTACAGCCTACATTTTATTGATTATATCTGATCCCCACGGTCAATTTGGTCGTTGCGACAGTGCGAGCAACACCGCTGACGCTAGGTGGCGCCAAGCTAAAAAAAGAAATGAATCCTATCTGTTGCCTCTTTAAATCAACTTAACTTTACAGCACTTCACATCAGGGCACGCTGGCTTATCTGTGTCACCTCATTGGGGTGGCACAGATATTCCACCTGCAGTTACAATTTTGCTTGCAGAGCATGTGTTTGTTTGCTTTATTTATGTACTGACTTAGTTTCCTTCATGTCCACCACCACTCCTTCCCCTGGAAAAAAAATATTCGTTGTCCACAGCTAATCAGCTCTGTGTCTCACTCTCCCTCTGTAGGTAATGCTATCCAGGCCTTTGGAAATGGGACAGATGTTGGAGTGTGGCAGCCGTTGTCCCCCGTCCAGACCACCACCTCCACCACCACCCCCTACCAGAGGAACCGTGAACGCAACCCCAACACCATCGACAACACCATCAACACAGACCCTGGCATTTACCACTTCTGTGGCAGCCTACAGGTTAGACACACTCACACACACTCACACACACGCACACACACACAAGCTAGTTTTGGATTCAGGGAGTGTCTGTACTCGGAGCCTCGAGGGTTCCAGCCGGTCTGGGATAAATCTGATCCTTTAACATGAAAACATTTCAAAACCTTCCTTTTTTTTCTTGTGAAACTTTTTACAGAAGGTTGAAGTTTCTGAGTCACCAATGCTCCTTATCTGACCTGCTGATCTTTCTATCCTTTTCTATCAGTCTCACTGTCCATATGTCTGCAGCATCTGTTCATCCACTGCTGCTATCTGTTCTCTGTTGCATACCTCACTGCCTCTTCATCCTCTGGCTCCATTTCTTTTTTAACTTTCAGGCCAGCTCCATTTGTTTATCGAGTATTGTCACAACACCAAATATGTGAATCAAATACTACATATAAAGTGAGGGTTGTTCCTATTGAAAATGCAAGGTTTGTGCAAAAGCATTGATGGCAGTTTACAGAAAACAACCTCAAACAAGTAAGTGGCTGGAGGAAAAAGTGGAGCATTTAGCATTTAGAGAGTTGGAGGAGACCAAACTAGAGCTAAAAACAGAATGAATATTGGACTTAAAACTCCATTGATATGATAATATTACTCTGTGCCTGCTCATTGTGAATATTAACTTGGCTTTAATACAGTGTCTATACATTTCAACCTGTAATCAGTGTTGGGAAGTTTACTTTTGAAATGTGATAGGTCACAGATTACTAGTTACCCTGTCAAAAATGTAATATGTAACTATCTTAATTACTTCATCAAGGTAAAGTTATAATTAGGACTGTCAAAGTTAATGCGTTAATAACAAGTTAATGCAAATTCCTTGTAACGCCACTAATTGTTTTGATGCACGATTAATGCACATACATTCAGTAATTATGACCCACGGCCCACCCGGTAGTTGAGCAGAAATGGATAAAGACAGGGGTCTTTTTAATGGCAAGTTTTGCTCCAGAGCAAAGCCAGATGGTTCTCTCAACAAGACCAAAATTATTTGCATTTACTGTCGATGTGAACTGAGTTACCACCAGAGTATAGCCCCTTTTACACTGCCAGATTTTCCACGAATGTTGGGCCTTTTTGCCGGCAAGCTGCGAGCGTTTAGACACACAGAGCCGGATTGGCGAGTTGATCCAAGGTGCCCAATTTTCCGCCTTGTAGGGTAGACATATTGGTGGAACCTTTTTGGTTTAAACAGACCGAGGTGGCCTTCCACCACAGGAGGGGCTGTTGAAGACTTGTGGGAGGAGCTGTTGATGACGCTGCACGTGCGACCCACTGGCGGTGGATAAACAGGAAACAGCTGATAGCAGGAATGAACGAGCAGCTAGTAGCAAGAGGGAAACACAAACCTGACAGACACTGTAAAGATGAGCAACTGGGGAGACAACGAATTGCGCGCCCTCCTTGTCCTCGCAAACGAAGAGGCCATTAACCGTCAGATGACGGGGACGGTGAAGAGCAGGCTGACTTACGAGAGAATCGCCAAAGGACTGACCAGCCGTGGCTTTTCACTCCCACGTCACTGTTTACGTCACACGCTGAGCTACACGTTTTGTTACTTGCTCACGCCCCCCATTGCCCCGAAAAAGGCGCATTCTGTATAAACAAAAGTAGGTAGGCGGCATTTTACTGCACTCCCCGATTTTGTTTTTGTACTGCCAATGCTGAAAAAAGACTGATTGGGCTTTCCTGCAAATTTGCACAACTCTTGTTTAAAAAGGGCTAATGTCTAGCTGCTTAAATAAACAGGGGATGTTTAGTTAACCTTTACATTGTGTTAGTATTACTGATTAATGTTACATCCTGGTCAATATGTCCATCTGTTGTTGCTTGTCAGTTTGCCAAGTGGTTATAGAAAATGAATGAATTAATGACTTTTGATTAAACACAATGCATGGAACAGGCATAAACTGACACAGCGTCCCAGAACATCAGCAACACATGCACCCATAATACACAGCACGTCATATGTAAAAGTCAAAGTCCACTGACCGAGCAGTGTTATGTGACGACTTTGAAAGTGAGAATATGCTGCTGTGTTTCAATAATACATTTCCCATGCTCATCACTGCATCATGGTGCATCACAGAACTCCATATATGCGCCCCAGTGGCACAGCACAGAGTACCTGGCATTCTCTGTGAGAGGATGAACACTAGGAACAATAAAGCCTACTGCTGTGAGAAAGTGGAGACGAAGGTTATGCACTGCATCAGTCCAGCGAGAAGAAGAGGAGGGAAAAGGGTAGCGCTCCATGACAAGAGGGAGGGTGCACAATAGAATCTCCCAATATCAGTCGCATGTCGTGTTCCTGCTGAAAGCAAACAGTGCAAATTCAAATGAGAACCAACCAAAAACAGGCTTGAAACACATACTGCCAGTTGGATAGAGCTGGACTATATGTAGAGACAGCTCTTTATAAGCCATCCTACCCTTGATGGTGTTGCACTCAAATACGTCCTTAATGCAGTTATGCAGTGCAAGTAAAGTTATGGAGGTTAGTTCAGGTGATAAAAGTTGCTGAGGTTAGGTTTTGGAAAACAAACATGGTGAGGACGTACCTTAAAATGACTCAAAGTTCACACGGATCCAAACACGTGACTCCAGGGAAAAGTCCCAAGTCTGTTTTTTTATGTGACCAATCCACCACTTCAACCTGCCTCCTTACAAGCGGAAAAGCAGTTAAAGTATCTTTTACATTTATAAGTTACTGATTTGGACTCATCTTTTGTATGTGGTAAAGCATCAAAATGTTAGTAACCACGCCTCATTCATCCTCATCTTGTCTTTTTCCCATCTTTGTCCTGTTCAGACTGGTATCTACACACTGGTGTGTATAGATCCATCTGTGTACCTGTATGTGCCAGACCCACTGTGCCCAATAAGACTGTGAAAGTGTATTTCTCAGTTGGAGCAGACACTCCTGCTCTGCAGGAACAGTTATCTGGCTGATGAAAGAGAGGGATCACAGGCAGCAATCCTGAACACCAGTGACGGGCTCCTCCTGGGTCAGGGAGGAAGTGGGGATAATACTGTCATTACCAGCAGAGCGATGACAGGGACTCACAGAGCTATTTCACATATAATCATACCGCAACCAGATGAAGCTTCATAAAATCACTAAAGTTATTGTTTACCAACGTTGACAGAAAAATCCTCCGGCAATTTCTAACTGAAATCCACCGTAATCATTTATTTTTGCAACAACAATCAAACTACAAACAGCTCTTTTTATTGTATGTTGATATTGTTTTTGATGCTCCACACTGTTGTAGTGATTGTGCATTACACTGGAGATCTTCTGAATTGTTTTTGTTCCTGTATGCAGGACTATTGTCTATATTATGGCTTTAAAGCCCCAGTCTGCAAATGTTCAAACATGTAAACAAACACTTTTTGTGTTTCTAAACTGAACATCCTCAAAAGTGGTAATATCTTTATT